AGAACACAGCCAAGCTCCCACCCAATCAGTTCATACCCCCACTGGCAGTTAAAAGGAAGAAACAGCTGCAATCATACATTGCTCCTAGAAGCACGAAGCCGAAAACACCAGCCTGAAGATGACGAATGGGACTTCGTCGAAACGTTGCCAAGACACTTCCAATTTTACACGGGAGAAAACCCGAATACCCAAAGACCTACATATATATATCGGCCAAAACACAGCTTAATCAATTAGGACCAATGACGAGGTCCAGGAGTCGGGTGCAAATGTTGAACAACCTATAAAAGAAACTCTCCCACTGACTAGCATCTAACCTTGACGATGTCGGTAGTGTACCGACGAAAGCTTGGTAATTTTATTAAACTTTTTCAGTTTATAATATTCCTAGTGCTCACGTTTATTTTATTTGTTCAGAATATGAATATACCCAGGATTTGTATTTTTAATGTTATTATTGACACATATATATATGTCAGAATGCCACTACCATTATTTTGCAAATTGTCTGTATCTATGGTGATTTTAATTATCTATATCTTCTATTTTAAATTCCTACTGATTTGTCCTTTCACTATTCCAATTTTCTTCTTCCATTTCTCTCTCTCTTTCTCCCTCCCTCCCTCCCTCCCCTCCTCTCTGTATGTGTGTTTTGAGTATCAACCGGGAGGAACTGTTGATTTACTTAAAGTATTTTTAACTGCCTTTAATCTTAAACAAATATCATACAACCGAATATGACAGAATATTAAAAACCAAGTGCAGCCCATGCACAAGAGAGTATAGGCATTTAACTATAGTAAAGCTCCAATGGGGAATTGACTAAAGCAATGACAATGGCAGCTGGGCTGTCCATGCCCAAAAACAGCTAGCTGTTGAAATTGCTAGACCTAATTAAAAGTAAAATAAAACACCTGTGCTTTTATTATCTTCATGGCTGCCTAACTACATTACATTAGTCAGTATCACTCATCCATTGAGACAATGAAGATTTGAACAGTGGATATAAGGTCTTATATGACAAAGAATTAGCAGAATCAATTAAAAACTCAACAGTTTCAATATGCCATAGTATTATTGAGCATTCATACATCAGGTGACTGATACATCTCACCTAAAAATGCAGAAAATCCCAATTTGGGGTTGCCTGAACAACCTAATTATTATACTAGCAATATATCCTGGAATTTATCCTGAACTCAATAGGCCACATGAAGCTTTATGGACAGCTGGTTTGTACTAGCTGATGCACAATTATTTCACAAAAATAGACATGTGGCACTTCCATAAATCAATCACAGTGGAAAGAAAACTATTTTTTCTAATCTTTATACATGAAATCAAAATGCATTTTCAGTTATAGGAAAGCCTTGATGGCCGTGGCACAAATTTGCAACAGCTAGTCTCTATCCTAAGCCTATGTAAACAGACACCAGCCAAAGACACTTCATCACTTACGACAAAGGCAAAATTGTGTCTCCATATTTAGTTTCCTCTAGCAAAATTATAGCAGTTGACTGTTACTTTATAGCTTGCATTAGGACAGCAATGTCTACTACATCTGGAGAATACAAAGTAGACCACATGGCACAAGCAATGATGCTTGACATTGCTTTGCTATCTCTGTCTCCTAGCATCTGCTGTCTGGAGTAGCCATCTCACTTTGATTAATATTAGGGCCAGACTTCCACTCAGGGTAATTGTGTTACTCAGCCTTCCACTCAGCATAGATACCTCACATGTTTTCCGATACAAAGGAAGTACAACATTACCCATATCAAACATGTTTTCATGATGATTAGGCAGCCTTACAAAGCTAACAAACAAACAACTTGGTTTCTATTGTTTTAGTAGAAGTCACATTTCTATTTTTATCTAACTGTGTTGATTTTTCTCACTTTCTTCTAGATTAGATTGAAAAGTTAGAAATAGGGAACTGAAGGTTTTTGATGCTCTCTATCATTGCCACCGAGCCATTTTTGCTGAATTGCTGCCTTTGTCAGAGACTGTGCTTTTCCTCTTTCTCTCTCTCTCTCTTTTTAATCTTCAAATCCTATTCCATCTCTTCCAGAAATTGTTTCTGCTTTTATTGCTATTATTGCCATTACTTTAAGAAAAGCAGTTAGGGGAAAAAAAGTCTTTGATACAAAGAGCAATCTAATAGGACAAAACTATCCAGCGGTGCTGAGAGTAACCTGCTGGTCTTCTGGGCAAAGGCATAAATATAGGATAAAGAAAAAATTGCAAACAATAGTCTTGATGAAGTATAAAGGCCCTCCCCACAAAGGAAATCCAGTATAATTTTAAAATATCTACAAGGAATGTGTTTTATTCTGATCTATTCAAAACACTATCTACTATAATAGGTTATGGTGTTTTGCATACTAGACAAGAAATTTAATGGAGAATGGTCAACTACGAAGGAGAAGGCCAAAGATACAAAAGCATAATTTTAACATCCTTTTTGCTGGAAACAAGTAAGACACTATCAATCAAATATTCCATATCTGACTAGGTACTGTTTCAAAACATTGAATATAGGAATTGATTTCTTCCTAGATGTTCTTTTCACACTGTGTATTTATTTCTGTTGGCTTTCACGGATGCACAGTTGAACCCAAGCACAGCTGGTAAAATTCCATCAACATAAGGCAAAATTAAATGATCTCCTCTCTCCTGTAGATCCTTATTCTTCTGGAAAACAGGTTTTTGGCATACATTCTAGGTTCAGAAAAGAAATGTAAACTGCCTCTTCCTGTTCCTAACATCCATATGTTTAATCCTGATGCCCAATGTGACAGTTGATAGATTCTAATGGTCTGAGCATGGAATATGTGTTATTATCAGCTGTTACATATTGGGTGGATAATTTTATTTAGCTATTCACTATGACTTAGTATCTTTTTGATAGTGAGCTGTAAAAAAACTCATCCCAGTGTATATGAAAATAAGGCCTTTTGTCTCAGTGTATCAATTTGCACTTACCTAAATTTCGTTGACCATCCACTCAATGCCATTTCATTGGTCATCCACTCAATTAATGAGATCCTTCTGGAGATCTTCACAATCAATTTTTGTTTTAAGTATCCTGAATAGTTTAGCATCATCCATAGACCTAGCTGGTACACTACTTATCCACATGTTCAGATAATTTATGAACAACTTAAAAAACACCAGTCTCAACACAGATCTCCGAGACTCTAATGCAGATTCTTAATACTTCAAAACCTCCTCATGTTTTACTCACCTGTCAAAAATAAATTAAATATTTTCATATTTGGGCTAAAAATCACATAGAATCATTTGAGTAATCAAATCAAAATATATCCATTTTTGGGTGCATAGTAATGTCAAATTAACAGTGCGGTCATATACATGGTTACAAAGAAATAATTACCATTAAATTCAGTAGGGCTTATTCCCAAGTAAACATGTATAAGATTGTTACCTAAAACCATAAAATCACAAACAAATACAGAAAAAACACTTTTAAAAACATAGACATTATCACAAGTTATCAGAACAAGATAAACCTTTTAGGAACAATGATTGATTAGATGCAAAGCTCAAATAAACTTAAAGTGGGTCCTGAAATCAGACCCCCCTGGATTAAAAAGAGACCTTGCAAATAAAGAAACCAGCCTGCATCAACTAGAAAAACTGGTTTCAGTAGCAAGTAAACTGTATGCTATAAACCTCAGTATTACCTTGAAATATCTTGAAGACAGACATGTATTCCAATTTAAGTGTCTTTCCCAAAAGGTTTAGCTATCCAAAGAGACTGAGACACCTAAATAATAATAAAGACACAAGTCTGACAAGCACATTTTGTTTCAAAATACAAACAATTAACTGGCAACCAGGTGGTCCTTTTAGAGTCTCCAGTTGCCATTATAATTTCAATTCTTCTTTTGACTTTTTAATGCTGTACCAATTTTCTTTAAAAAAGATATTTTGATAAGACTACCTCATTTAGATGGCCACTAGCTGTTATAAAAAAATATGCTGGGAAATTTAATTCTTTGCTAGCATCTATTTACTGACTAGAGTTTTGCAAAGTAGATTGGGCGGACTTAGATAAGAAGATGGAAATGACATAGGGAAGTCCCCCCCCAAAGGTGAGGGATTTCCTATTTTAACTTCAAATTGCACCCAAACAGTTTTTTTTTTTATTCCAAGTTAATGAATAAAGATCTGCTCAAGAAAAAACACTTGTATTAGGATACTACACAATAGACTTAAATTATTATCAGCTGTTATCTGGGTTCTCCAGAAACAATCTGCACATTGAAGCAAGACAATTAGTAATTTGTGTTTAAAGTTCAAAATAGTCCAACAGATCTAAAACAATATGTATTTGTTATTACTTTTTAGGCTGACATGTAACAAAAGCAATGCAATTGTGTTAGCCCCGGCACTCTGCATGATGCCAAAGCTGTGCTGAGTAGCCCGCTGTTAGAGAAGGGTATACCATCGTGCTGTAGCATTGCTTCAGCCCTCCCATGCTGTGTCAGTCTATAGGCAAACACCATGACCACTGTCACAGCCAACACATGGAAATGCTAGGGAGCTATTTCTATAACAACAGGAGGGCAGTTCCCACTCAACTTGACCCTTGCTCTTGATGGCTATTGTGATGATACACTCAGAATGAAATATTTAATAAAGAGGTAGTTCAGAAAATAGGCTAGCTAAAGGGAAAGAGGGGGTAAAGGTTAAACTAAACTCTTGGTTAAATTGAGTGGAACAATCTTATGAATAGGATATATCCCTTCTACACCAAATGAAATATGAAGAACAATAATTTATATTGATGCAAGTGCTAATCGGCTACCAATTATAAAAAAATATAATATCTGCTTTAAAATTCAGAATTAATGACTGGAAGCAGATGAGTCCATAAAGGGACAGCCGGTTGCCATACACAATTGTAACTATGTTTCTACAAGTTATGAAAAGAAAGCAATATGTGCCTGTTTCGGTGGCTGTCGTTTGCCTACCAATGGTGCAGTGCTCCCCATTCCAGCCCTCTCGGCATTCACATTTTCCATCTTTACAAGTTCCATGTTCTGTGCAGCGGGGATGGCAAACACGTTGGTCACAGGCTATCCCTGTCCAGCCCTCTTCACAGCGACATGCTCCGCCAATGCATACACCATGAGTGCCACAGTCTACAGCACATACTTCTGGAAAAGAATAAGAAAGAAAGAGAGAAATAGAAATTAAGTTGCTTATTACGCAGTTTTGTCATGAAAACCAGCAGCATTTTGAACACAAGACTGATTAATATTTTTCTTAATTTAATTTGTTTATCGTCTGACTCCCAACGACTCTGGGTGGTTGTGTACTTTCATTGCTATAAGCAAGCAATGCACAATAGAAATTTCTACAAATGAGATATTAAATCTGTTATTATATTGCATCCAAGCAGTTGGGATTTTATTGACAATGTCAACAAAAAGAGACCACAAATTAAAAATTCTGATATACTTTTACTGTATTGCCTTTACTATTTCCAAAGGTGAGTACAATTTTGGATAATCATTATGGTGGATGTATTGTGAACTGAAAGTTTCAGAAACAAACATCTTCAACACTATCATAAAACAGGATTACAAAAAATACAAGGGGTGAAAATCAAAACATTGGAAGATAACTCTTTTTTTATATTGATTTGATTAACCATGGGTAAATTGTCAGTTACACAGTGTTTCAGAATTCAGGCAGTGCTGCCAAGATAAAGGATAGTTTGAAAATAGGATAAATGATAGTTTGAACATTAAATAAATGCTCAAAATTACTGTAATCAAGGAGCAAACTCTTATTGTTCCTATACTGTAAGCTGTATGCAGGATTTGGCGTATCTGAATTTACATCAGAATTCCAACTCTTAGCACAGTGATGGTGAACCTTTTAGAGACCGAGTGCCCCAAAACTGGCCCCACTCCCTGCCCCACCCCTGCTCCGCCCCATCCTGCCTGCCCAGAGGGCCACTCACCACCTCCAGAGCCCGCCACAGATCGCCCAGGCAGCTCAGCAGCACCATGGCAGCCACGCCCTCTGCCCACACCCCATAGCATCAACTGTGCGCGTTGGGGCATGAGGGCAGAGTCTTGTCTACGCTGCCTGGCTGCCATGTCCTTGGCTGCGCTGCTCCGCGTGGGCTATGTTCAGGGGCGACTCTCCTCCAGGGAGGCTGCTGGTGAGGAGGGGGTCATGGGCAGAGTTAAGGCTGGGGCAATGGCATGTGTGCCCACAGAGAGGGCTCCGAGTGCCACCTCTGGTTCACCACCACTGTCTTAGCACAACAGCTGACTTTGCCTGATTTGAATTATCTTGAGCCAGAGACCATCCAGTCTATTTTAAAACTAAATGTTTTTTTCTTACCAACGGAGCAGTCAGGACCCATCCAGTTAGGATCACAGTTACAGAGGCCTGTATCAGAGAGATATGTGCCATGCCCACTGCACTGGTCTGGACACTGGGCACGTGGAAGTTCACAATTTAAACCTCCCCAGCCTGGGCTACAGAGGCATTCTCCATTTACACAGACACCATGGTTGGAACAGGATGGATCCAAGCAATCAACTGAAACAAAGCAAAACAAAACAAAGTGAGTGAAAAAGGTCAGGACACTGAACACACAGTCTGAATTGACATCAGTTGATGGATCTGTGCTCAGCAGCTTCCTTGCTGCTGAAATGAAGCAAGCTTGCTCAGTTGTTTGTTAGGATTTTCTGGGAATCTGAAAACATAAAAAGGTCATTCTGCTTGCTATGAAGAAATTTCAAGAACCAAGTAGTGTTAAAAAAAAAAAGAGGAATAGGGAAAGGAATTATTAAAACAAAATTGTAAGACTGTTTTGAGACCAAGGAAGAAGAATATATATTCCAAAAAGACACCAAACACTGGGATTCTTAAACAATTTATCAATAATCGTGTAAACTTCACAATGACACATACATAAACAGAACAATGTTACTCAGCTGCTATGACATTCTTTGTATTTTATGTATTTAGGCTTCAGAAGTTTGATGAAAGGAGGCAAGAAAGTTTGTATTCTCACTGTCTTTCCCTAGTCAACTGACGTCCAAGACGTGAGAACTTTTCACCAAACACGAATCTTGCCTATGTAAACTTTGAAAATAACTTCCTTCTAACATACATTCAAGCAGAGTATTACTTTAAAAAAAATGGAATGATTTATGACTCCCTTTAACTTGGGCCTCAAAGACCAAAGAGGAGCACAAATGCTATACTAACACAATTCAACATGTCAATTACATCTAAAAAACATATAGTAAGAAGAGTTCTCTAGGCAGTATCCACTACTACCTGTTCTTTATCCCTGAAGCTAATTGACAAACAGTGGAGTTGCTTATGCTCCTTTTTGTCTTGTCATGCTGTCCACTGTACAGTATCTTTTGCTTCTATCTTTCAAGCATTCCTTCAACACAACTGGCATAAAACAGTGCAAGCAGCCCTTTTATTTGGCTTTTTTCAGTACTATACTTGGAGACACATGCTGCAACTGGAAAACAATGGTGGCATCAGAAAACAGTTGTCAAAGTAGAGTTAGATTTCTGAATAAGAATTAAAGACTAATATAGAAAGTTTGTGGGTGAAGGTATATAGATAACCTTTCCACCCCACAGATAGTGAATGGTACTTATTTAATTGTCCATTTAATAATGTTGCATGAGCATATTTTCACATAGCAGCTTTAGCTTCATTAGTCCCATCAATACAGTAATTTCCCGTCATGTTGGATTTCGGCTTTCATAATTCTCAGCTCGAACATCCAATTGGAAATTATAGGATTTGGTTCACTGCATTTTGAGAGCCTAGCTTAATGAATAAATCCACAAGATGCCCTGTAAATTGAAAGACAAGCAGACAAATTTTCAGGTCGACCCACGACACAATTGAGCCCAAAGTTTCTGATGTGAAGTGAAACATTTGTTAAGTGAGTTTTGTCCCATTTTACAACCTTTCTTGCCACAGTTGTTAAGTGAATCATTGCAGTTGTTAAGTTAGTAACACGGTTGTTAAGTGAATCTGGTTTCTCCATATGAATTTGCTTGTCAGAAGGTTGCAAAAGGCGACCCCATGACCCTGGGATATTGCAAACATCATAAATATGAGCCAGTTACCAACTGTCTGAATTTTGATCCCATGACCACGATGATGCAGCAACAGTTGTAAGTGTGAAAAATGGTCACAAGTCACTTTTTTTTCCAGTGATCTAACTTTGAAGAGTCACTAAATGAACTGTTGTAAGTCGAGGACTACCTGTATTTAAAATGAACAATCAAGGCTCTGAGACCTTGCCTATCCTTGAATGTCTGAAAGAGGATTCTACAGTATAGCATTCAGCTGAAAAAAGCACAAAATCCCTTAAGAAGTTCATATTAAATGCACCATGGTCTGAAGGTCTCCCTGCAGTGATGCTGGTGAAGTGCAACCATGATTCCCTCTTCACAGGATCTATTCCGAATGCTTTGAACTGGATGTACATGCACATTAAATCACAAAGCACTAAGAATAAACAATGCTTTAATGGTTCCGTAAAGCAGATGATGAAAAGAAAACTGTAGACCCTCTTGGGGTTTGAAATGCATTCCTAGCATCTTGAATGACAAAGGAATATAGTTTTCTCTCTTTTTCTGACCTAAATTTATAAATGCTTTAAGCATGAAATATTCCTTTAAAAGTAGTATATTTACTAACTGGACTATCCTCTGTATTCTGAGTTAAAAACTAGCTTTTGGTGGTTTGGAACCTTCATTTCTAGTGTCAAATAACTGGATGAAAAATAGATGAAGTCTCATTGGAAAAACGATTCCCTTCTCTGACTGATCATAACAAAAAGAAAAAGAAGCAAGCTATGTAACATCTATATTACATCATCTAGAACAAATATTTCCGTTAGAACCAACACATTCACTTTCATTGTTTATAGTTTTTGCAGATATAAATTAATGACTCTGTTGGTTAAGAATAAACTATCACATTCCAATCAATAAATGTAAGTATAAGTCTTCCAGATGTTGCTAACTTATCTGTCATCACTGGTTTGCTCATTCCCATTTTGCTCTTAAATGGGAAGAAATACATTAACACAATATCCTCTTGTTTCCTTAATGCATTTTCCTCTAGACTACGGGTTTCCAAACTTGGCAACTCTAGGACTTGTGGATTTTAACTTCAATATGCTGGCTGAGGAATTCTGGGAGTTGAAGTCCACAAGTCTTAAAGTTGCCAAGTTTGGAGATCCCTAATCTAGACAAAGTAAGAGGTGAGGAAAAAGCAAGGAGAAAAGACATTGAGGCTTTGGCCAGAAGACCAAAGTAATTGTAACTCAAATTATTTATTTTTTAGAACATCATACAATATCTATCTTAATAATGTCTCATTTTGTTGCTTTTGATACATCCCTGCCCTCTCTCCCTTATTCCCAAGAAGAAATCACTTTATTGCACACATTCTCCTTGCTAACAAATCATATTTGCTGCATGCTTGTTAACATGATTTTTGTCCTGAATCTATTCTTTGTATCTCTTTGTTGTTCCCCCTTTGAATGCTACCCTCATTATGTAATCAGAAAGTACATTAGAAACTAGGGGAAAAATAATTTGGTATCCCAGATAAACTTCACAGTTAAAAAGTAGTCTATTGCTATCTCTAAGGAGAGTCAAATGGCCATTTCAGGATGTACTATCAAAGTGGATCAGTACACGTGCCCACCCTACCATAATTGCAAGAAACTTTTTTACTGTAAAATTAAAGCAGAAGATGAACCAGCCATTTTTACACATTTATAAGTTTATATCTTTTTCTTAAATATTAACATCAATAAATCTACAATCACTTCTCATCAAATTCTGGGGCAAAATTAATTTACTCCCGTTTGCAAGGTGGAGTATAACTTTGGTAATGAAATTGAAATAACTATTTTATAATCCAATCCAGATTACACAGATAATCCCCTGGTTGACTACTGCAACACACTCTTACATGAGGCAGCCCTTGAAGATCACCCAGAAGCTTGGCATGCCCATGCAATACTTCTGCTTTACAAGCTGCACTGGTGCTCCATTTTCTTTTAAGTGTGAATCTATTTGCTAATTATGCCTAATATGGTAGAGGGTCAACTATTTAAGGGACAGTTTAGCTTCTCTAGCATTTGGCCAGTGTTTTGATTCAACAAGTTTGGCATGTTCTAGGTTCCTTTGATTCTTTTGGAACCCTAGAAGTGGGCTTTGACTGTTGTAATGCCTACTGTCTGGTATGTAGTTCTCCTTGAGAACCATGTAGTTCCTATATTTTTGTAATTTCAAAAGGCTTTGAAGACATGGTCTTCTCCCACGTCTTTGACTAGAATGGATGTTGCCTTGTATAAGGAGTGAGTGTGTGTTTTATGACTACCTGGATTGGCATCTTGGCTTTCTCGATTACCTTCTTTTATTGTTGCATTTACTTTATTGCTCTATAGTTTTTCTGCTTTCTTATAAATTGCCCATAGTTCTTGGACTCAGATGGTAAACAAATAAATAAAAAACCCAAATAATCAGGGATCCCAATTTTATCTTTATAAAGAATGAATTAAAACCTGTCTGAAGTCTTCCAGGGACAGCTGGATGTGTATGTGTGTGTCTGTGTAGTATTCAGAATGACTATGATTCTAATCATTACTTTAAATTATATAATATACTACCAATCAATGTTAATGTCAATATCAATATTTATATATTATATTTCTACATTATTTAAAAGAACACACTGTTAAATTCTAAACCAAATATTTCTGAAGAGGACTCTAAATACTGATAATTATATATTCCACTTAATTAGTTAAAAGAAGAAAAGTGGAGGCCATGAGTCTTTAATTGACATTAGACATCACACTTGGATTGAAGGAGGAAATACATTAGGTTAAGTGCATTTTGTTCCAGTGAGTTCAAGTAGTTTACTTTATGATAAATCTATTTAGTACAACAAGTTTAATCATTTCTGCTTGTGGGTTTCTAATAATTAGCTTATTTTTCTCCAATATCATATAAACGTCTATTGTAAATTTGAACCTTCCCTTTGTTTCCAACCTCCCTTCATCTGACTTCCAAAAACCATAAAAATAATTGCTAATGGCTTTGCAATTTCTTCAGTTAATCCCCTTGGAACCCAGAAGTATGCTTCAACAGATTATGCTGGTTTAAATTTATTAAAATATCATCTATTTAATTCCTCTCCTGACCAGAAGCGCAGGAATGGAGAAATTTTCTGTATGTATGGATTTGTGTTTGGGAAGGAGAAGGGGAGAGAAGTGTGTGTGTGTGTGATTCTCTTAGAAAGAGGTATGATCTATAACTTTTTATCTTCCTCTAATTTTGATTACCCCTACCAATACAAATCCAGCCCCCTATTTGTGCTAATCCTTTATTACAACTTGAATAACATGCCATTCTGCTATAATATTTCTAAAGATTTGATACTTTCCTTCACAGAATTAACATTTCTTGGATTTTAGATTACTCTCAGGCAAGCAGGAATAAAATTTTAATCCTAATGCCACCAAAGCTTTTCAAATG